GGTGTAATGCCATGATATAAGAGATGGATTCTATGACATCCAATTAAGTTTGGAATCTTGTCAAGTTACCTGATGGTATAAAAGCCGTCGAATATAAATAGGTCTTTAAAACAAAGAAAGACTCAAAATGTAAAATTAAAATATATAAAGTACAATTTTTTTGTCAAGGGTTTCACTAAAAAAGAAGTCGACTACACGGAGATTTTTTCTTATATATCAAAGAAAGATTCTCTTCGAATCATTATGACATTAGTAGCTCATTTTGATTTGGAGTTACATCAAAGAGATGTAAAAAAGACATTCCTTAATGACACTCTAGATTAATATGTTTATATGAAACAATTTAAATAATTCTTCTCTAGAGACGGTGAGCATATAGTATGCTAGCTCAATAAATCTATATATGGTTTAAAACAAGTCTTACATCAATGGTATTTAAAGTTCCATAATGTCATTACTTTATTTGGTTAAGAAGAAAATATCATGAATCAATGTATATATTTGAAGGTTAGTGGAAGTAGGATTTGTTTTCTTGTGTTACAAGACGGTGAGCATTTAGTATGCTAGCTCAATAAATCTATATATGGTTTAAAACAAGTCTTACGTCAATGGTATTTTTAAAGTTCCATAATGTCATTACTTCATTTGGTTTTGAAGAAAATATCATGAATCAATGTATATATCTGAAGGTTGATGGGAGTAGGATTTGCTTTCTTACATTATATGTGGATGATATTTTATGTGCTACTAATGATAAAGATTTACTATACTATGTGAAATATTTTCTCTACAAATTTTGATATAAAAGATATGAGAGAGACATCTTATGTCATTGGCATTAAAATCCATAAAATATTAGGTTTGTCTCAAGAAACCTATATCAATAAAATTTTATAGAGATGTTGGATGAAATATTGCTCACCAAATATAGTTCCAAATGTCAAGGACAACAAATTCAGTTTGGATCAATGCTCTAAAAATGATATTGAGCGGAAATATATGGCTAACATTCCAAATGATTTAGTGGTTGAAAGCATTATGTATACTCAGGTATGTACTAGACCTGATATAGCATATGTTGTTAGAGTGTTAAGAATATAACAAAGTAATTCAGGTCCTAATCACTGGAAAACTGCAATGAAGCTATTGCGGTACCTTAAATGGACAAAGGATTACGTGCTCATGTACAAATGAGCCGATAGATTGGATATTATTGGCTACTCTGATTTATACTTTGCTAGTTGTGTTGATTCTCGAAATCAACATCTGGTTATACTTTCATGTTAGCCAATGGAGTCATATCCTGGAAAAATGCAAAATAGACCTCGACTGCTACTTCTACTATGGAGGCAAAGTTTGTCTCGTGTTTCGATTCTACCTATCATGGTGTATGGTTGAAAAATTTTATATCTGGTATTAAAATCATGGATTCTATTGCTAGGCCATTGAAGTTGTAACATTACAACTGCGGTTTTTATGGCTAAGAATTATAAAAGTGGTAATCGATGTAAGCACATCAAAATTAAATACTTGGCCATAAGAGAGCGTTTAAAGAAAATAAAGTTGTTATTGAGCACGTAAGCACTGAATTGATGATTGATGATCTTTTAACTAAAGGCATGCAACCAAAGAATTTTAAGGATCATGTAGTACGAATAACATTTGGTTTTGTGGTGTAATTCACTTGTTCGTACATCTTTGTATTCAATAAAACTTTTATTCAATTTATATTTTCTCATTTGGTTTTATGCGCATACTTGTCTTGAGAATATTGTTGTAAATGTGAAGGCCTAGAATAAACATAAGGTTTAATTCATTAAGATGTATGAGTGGTTTTAGGAATCAAACTACATTGCAATACATAGAAAATAATACTCGTTGAAGAGGGTCTATCGCCATGATTCATGGATTTTGCTTCTTATGGAATAACATATAGACCAAGTGAGAGAATGTTAATGTTAATGTGGTCTATGTGAAAAGTCTCAATGGTCTATGTGAAGTAGTGAGTCTATGTGAAAAGTCTCGACTATTCTGATACTTTCCAAAATTATTTTTTAAAATTATATATAATTTAACAATTGGGCTGAGTCAGACATGGCTGACCTTGATGGGCCCGGACACGGCCCGGCTCATACTCGTGCCAAGCCAGGCACGGCCTGATTTTTTTTGGATTTATCTTTTAGACTCAAGCATAGTTTTTTGTGCCGAGTTCTAATCTGATTTCCGGACCATATCTATATTTACCGGCTCTATATTTTGTACATATATCTATTTATTGGATATAATAATTAAAATAATTTCTACTTTTGTGGAGTTTATTATTATAGTTATTGTTAATATTATTTTCTAAATAAATTTAATCATATCTTTATATAACCTCCAATTTATTTTTTAATTCGAGCCCTAAAAAAAATTTGAAATATCCCAACAAAGCGAAATGTTCCGTATTCAAATCTCAATGCCTTTCGAGAAAATTTGTTTACATACAGAATTGGTCCGAAAGGAATCCACCTTACATATTCAATGGACTCTAATATTTAGAATATTCCTTTGTCAATATTTTATTTAATTAAGGGAACACCACCAGTATTTAATCTCTAACCATTAATTTAGTTTTTATTAACATAATTTCAAAATACAACATAACACATTAGTAACTCAAGTCAACAATTATAAATACTAGATACTCCTTTCGTCCGCCTCTAAGGGTCACATTTACATTTTGTGTTATTGTACTTAACATTAAAGATATCCTTATATTTGTATAATTTTGTGTACAAATATCCTTATATTAGTATTATAAGACACTAATGAAAGTATTTTTGGAATTTTTTCTTAATTTGTACTATGTTTTGATATAATAATTAATATTCAAATATCAACACACAAAAAATAAATGAAACTTTTAGAGCCAGACGGAGGTAGCATATGTTTCCTACGTATTGTAAATATATGTTTAATTATTATTTTAATTTGAACATAAAAAGTATGTCCATAGTAAAAATATACAATATTCTTTAAATTTATATTTATTATTACACTCGTTCTACTATAATTTAAAAATTATTAGGAATGACAAATGATCGAGTATGAGTTAGCTCCAGTTGAATCCAAGACCATATCCGAATATACATTGTTAGAGCTGAAATTCGAATTGAATTTGATTATATCCCGATCCAACTATATCCGAACTTAACTTGAGACATACCCGATAAGGTTTGATACTTAAAGACTCAAAATATCTTATCCTTCCTAAAAATTTATTTGAAAGTTGCATCCAAACCCAAGTCCAAACCCAACATATATAGAAATTTAAATATTTTATTCGAAAATATTATAATAAGATCAGACAAAATTGCTCATAACTCCCTTGTAGTTTCGAAACTCAACGTAAATCCCACTTTTACTATAAAATTTGCATTGAGTCCCCTTATACTTTAAAAAACATTGTATAAAACACCTCTATGGTTTCAAAACTCAGTGTAAATCTCCACTTTATTTTTAAAAAATTGTATAACATCCCCTTATATTTTCAAAAAAATATGGATAGAAAATCATCTTCCCATATGTTTCATGGGGGTGGAGTTTCATGCAATATTTTTTAAAGTATAGGGAAATGTCATTAAATTTTTTAAGCACAGAGAGATTTCATGCAGAATTTCAAAACCTCGTTGAAGTTTTGAGCAATTTTACCATAAGATCATAATCAATAAATAAATTAAAATTAAAAAAATATATATTGTTTATACTTTGTATTATTATAAGTGATATTCTTTTTCTTAAATATAATTGATATTTTATCTCTTTCCGTCCCAATTAAAAGTACTTTTATTAGTTTTGTTTGTTTTATTGAAAAGTATTAATTTTTTATTATAAGAAAAATAAATCAAAAATTAATACCAAAATATTTTTTAATTTTTACATAAATTAGAAATATATTATTACATATATAATTAATTTATACGTAAAATATGAAAAAAATATCAAAACTATTTACACATTTCCACTGACTAATTAAATATTGTTATCTATTAAACTATCTTACACGGAGTAATATATTGATCAAGTCTAATTGAGGTCCGGATCCAAACCCACCCTTAAACTATGGACCTAAACCCGACACGATTACGGTATATAACATCTTACTCATAATCAATTTTATATTCGAATAATTAGGTCTATATGTCCGGATCCGAACCCACCCTTAAACTCTAGACTGATCTAGACACAAGTAAAATATGTAACATCTGACTCGTAATCATTCAATATTCGAATAATTGGATCCGACTTCAAATAAATAAATCGGATCTCAAATCTGCCCAAATCTATTGTCATCGCTAAAAATTACTTCATCCGGTTCAAAATGAAAGTTTTTTTTTTTTTTTTTTTACTATTTTTTTGATAGAAAAAACAATTACATATCAATATCAAAATACTTTAAATTTTTAGATTAATTACAACTATACAGTTAATTTATCTATAAATTATAAAATAAAATGTCAAACTCATCTTTTACCTTTACCACTATTAATAAAATACTATTATTTTTTAATTTATTTAAAAAATTAAAATAATACATTGAAGTAAGACGAGAAAATACATTATTAATCTTATTAAAATTTCAATTCTTTGTTATAGAAACTGTATAACATATATGCAAAAGTTGTATACCATTTTTATTTTTCACCGTTTTATTTTTCACAAATATTCAAACATAAAGTATGAAAATAATATTAAATTACTATTTTTCTTAAGTGGGAAGTAGTAAGGTTTGTGTTTTTTGTAAAAGAATTTTAACATATTTTTTCAAAAATAATTAATATATTAAATATATTTATTATTTTTATATTATCTACTGCAATTATTTATACCTACAAAAATTTTCATTCAAATCAAAACACAAAACAAAACAAACCTAAATTACTAGAATAATCTACTAGTTTAAATAAACTACGTATTTGATTTAAGCGAACACAGTAACCCAAACCTTAAAAAATACCAAAAAACAAAAAAGCAAAATCGAAAACAAAAACAGAGGATTAAAGACAACTTTGGCTCTTTTTGTAATGGTGGTTTAAAGTGGCCTTTTATCACAAAGCTATCAAATGCCATTTTATTCCCATTACTCTCTATCACATCTTCAATACAATTAATTAAATTTCTTCATTTCACTTCACACAATCCACTGCACAAAAAGCATTATATGTAAATGCACAACAAACAATCACCCACCATTACAAACAAATGCCAAACTTAACCTAAAAAATGTCACACACACACACTGCAATCTGTGAGGTCACCTAGGCCCCATGACTGTAAGATCATAAGCTGCAGAAACAGAATCTGATGTATCCACAAGCAATGAAGAGCTTGTTGACTCTGGTTTTGAGATGTTACCTCCTGAAGATGATGATGAAGAAGATACTGTTACACCAGATAGTTGTATGCCTCCCAGCTTGGTACCAGGCAAATCCTTCTCGGTGCTTCTAATGGTGTCAATTTCTTGGCCTAAACCACTGGCACTGCGCTTCCTACCTGCATCGTCGCCTTCACTGGGATTGTAGAGCACATACTCATGGTAGGTTGGTGCAAACTGAGGAGTTGAAAATGCAGAGAATTATGATCTATAATGCATATAGAGTACATATCCTCATCCATAGTTAATTTGAGGTTTAGTTTGGGAATGTTACCTGGTGGACCGTGTCGTGGTAAAGGTCATTTAGCTTCATGGAGTGCACTAGGTTGGCGGCAAAGCCATGTTTCGCGCTGATACTTGTACCGGCATATTCTTTATAAGGGAATGCGTAGAGATGGCCCACAGCAGCAATAAGCATTTCGACGCATATTATGAAATTTTGGAACTCTGCAGCTGCATTTGTGTCTTTAATCAAACCAGATTTTGCCACAAGAAAAACCAAAACGCCCTGAAAGGAAAAAGGAGTTTTTACAGCATCGTAAGTTTCTTTGTGTATGTATTGAATTTTGGGTGTTTGAAATGTATGTATGCTACCTGCCAGTATGTAAGGAACACTACAGACTTGATCATGATAAACTTGGGAACCGGATTGAATGGCTGAAGCAAATCTCTGCAAGCCATATAGAACACGGCCAATGCATAAAGTGCCGTGGAATATGATATAGTGTATATAATGGTTAGGTAGAGATAAGACTGCAGAGGGTTGAAATTCCCGTCTTCGTATTTCCCTTTTGCATATAGTATGAGAGTAGCCATTACTAGAATGGGTTTCAGAATCACAAACTGCAAACAACCTTGTTTGCATCTTCGGATGAAGCGTCTGCACAACATTCACAATGTAATCCTTGAGTGGTATATTTTATAGCAAAACAACTCATTAGTTAGAGAGAAGTAGCTGAGTAAATACTTCACCCAATTTGATGCAAAAGATCAAGTTTTTAACAACTAACCAGATGTTAAGCTATTTAAATAGTGATTCCAGACGTAGGAATTAAAATGAGTTAATCAAATGCACTCATGTTTGATGCAAAACCTCACATGGGAACTGGATGCTATCATTTATTCAAGAAAATACTTTCATATATGCGACTTACCCATCCAGAGGAATTGCAGGGAAGCAACATGTCATCAAGCACCAATTTGGCTTCAGAAACTTCCCAAACAAGCTCACAACGACAGCTCCTGGACCACCTACCCATGCTAAGCACAAAGAAAAAAAATTATAGATGACCCAAGCTTCATACCTGCATAGTGCATAAACCTGTAATTAGGTTAGGAATCATTGAATTGATGAAACAAGAATGGATAAGCAACAAGAACCAGCCGCATGAGGACAATAGACCACCCTACAGCACTAACAACAATTTATTGATAAGTCAAAGTAGAAGAAGATATTGTGTTAGTTTAGGCACAATCCTTTTAAATTAATTGGAAGAATTAACCAATGTGTGATCTGTGAGTATTTCAAACAAAAGTTAGAGAGGAAAAACTATCGTCAGGGCTTCTACTTTTTTACCACTTCTATTTACGTGTACAATGGCATACAAGGTTGGCAAACAAATTCAGTTATCCCTCAACAATTATAGAAGTGCTAACTAGCCCGTGTGGCACAAACAACAAAGTTTGATCTACTAAATAGAACAAGCAGAAATGACCATGTCATAATAAACCTATGATGATGGCTGTACTGCACCAAACTACTACTCAAAATCATGACAGTCTCATGATATTTATATTGTTTAATGTGGAATAAAATACTAATTGCACAGCAGAAGAAAGTTATTTTCTACCTTGACCTCAAACAAATAACATTGAGCTCTGATACACTTTTAGCAACATTAGAAGTCACAAAAGCTATTAGAATATATCATGTATTTCCTCCAGAGTGATGTGAAAGAAATGAGTTCAATTGCAATCTCGACAAAATAAAGACATCACTTAAGAAAAGTACTGCGATTTATACACAAGAATTCAGAGAAAAGAAAATATCATAGCCATACTTACATTTCTCTGATTGAGTTGAAGTATATTGTGCTTTCATTTTGGACCAGGGACAAGAAAGACATCAATGCATAAACCTATAGCAAATTTAAAAATGGTCAGAGCGCAGATCTAAGGTAGGTTGAGGTAAAGCAAAACATGGGCACTTCCATAGGGAATAAACAGTTTGCAAATTCTTAAAGCAAACACAGATTTGGCACTATCGCAGAAGATCCCAACAAAAGAATAATATGCAAGAATAAAGCACTATCAAATCATCACTGATTGAGATAACAAAAACATTCAGAATCGGAAGCATGAACGGTTTGTTCAGAAGATAGATAATAAATTTGTACGTTCTAATACAAGATAAAGTGGGGATAGAGAAGCAGGAGCATGCAAGTCTCTGTCGTCGGGAAGAGGATAAAACAAGAAAGAAAGCTACAAACTGTCTAAAGATAAGGTCACTTAAGATAGCCATAAATCATACTTCTTACAATAAAAACAACTTCTCTCTATAGCATGAAACAGTCTCTATACATCACCAAGATGAAAATATCTTCAAAATTTGATGTCATTATCCATGTCCACAACATCAATAAGCACTTCTACGAGCATGTATACTACTGTTACAAAAGTTGCCTTAACCTTTCAAGAATGAACTCATAAGAAGGCAGAAATTGGATACATTTTTTATGACTTATCAACTGTGAAGAAAGAAACCTAACCTCAACTGCAGTAGAAAATCAAAGATGAAATTCAATCAAGAAGGGATTGTAAGATACTCACGGGAACCATAAAGATGATCCGGACAATGTATCTCTGATATGTAGGTTCAGTGTAATTCACTAGATGATTGTAAATGTGAACAATTGCCAAACCCGTGGCCACGACTGTACAAGGCAATGCTATCAGTACATAATACATCGGCCCCATTTTCAATCCAGAGTGAAAATTCACCCCAATCCAAGAACGCTCTTCTCCACCTGAGAGTATAACAAACCCATTAAATTGCAAAAATGAAAACAAGACTATATAACAAATAATTAATTCGCCAATGCCAAAAATTGAGTGGGCTTTTCTCCTCAGAGGAGTGCAAAACGAACCAATTCCCACAAATTGAAAGGAAATATGTCAAAACTTCTAACCCCAATAAAGCATACATTTCCCACAGCAGGAAACTTCGATCGAAAACTGTTAGATCAAATGGCTACAACAAGATAAGAACAACTCAATTGCCCAAGATTCAATCAAGTATTCAAGTATTCGATGAACAAAAACAATAGTAATATAATCAAATAAAATCAACGGATCGCAACGGAAACCTATGAAGAAACATTGTCACTAACGAGTTCAGAAATTACGAGAACCCAAGGTTGGCATGGAAAACAAAAGAAAACAAAGTCCAATTCCTCACTTCGACTCACCTTGTCGATTGAATCAAGGACAAAGAACCGGCAGTTCTCGGACCACAAAAGAACTCCAGCAGTCCAGCACCAATCAATCAATCAACCCAACTGAAGAATCTCCCAGTGAAGGAGAATAAAATGGCAGTTGAATGCGTAGTCTGCAGTCAATTGATGGCGTCGCTGTGGAACGAAATCAGCTCTCCTACATCAGATGATGGCTTAGCCGACGCTTCGCTTCTCTGTCATTGCTTCGAGCATAACATTGATCCCGAGGTTTACTCCAATTTACCATTGGCTAGTTTTGGGGTGCCTGTAGGGAGCTGAAAAGACGCATTTGCCCCTTTGTTTCGATGTTGTACTTGCGCCTGTAGAACTAGTAGACCTTCTTCTATACCGACAGCGGAGAAGATGATATTCAGGGTTTTCTAAGGGTGTGTTTGCTTGGGAGTTTGGATTTTGAGTTTTGATAGTAAAGGATCTCGAAGAGGCCACCGGCATTTTGAATAGTAAAAATTTTTAAATGATATTTTTATTGTAAAATTGATTTTTAATATAATATAAAAAATAAAAAAGTAAATTTTTGATTTAATATTTTTTAAAAAAATCTGGATGAATAGTAAAATTTTTGCAAAATCTTACAAGCGAACGCATCCTAAATAAATGTCCTAATTCAAGATTTTTTTTTCAAAAAATAGACCTGAAAGTAGTTCTAAAAACTACTTATTAATTTAACAAATTGAAGAGTTTCCAGAAATTCTTAGATTGTTGATTTAAGGAGTTCCTTAATGTAGTATATTATTTATTAATTTCTAACAACATTTTAAGGAGTTATCGGAACTTTTTAAATCTAAAAAGGAGTTTTGAGAACTTCTTTTTAACTATGAGTTTGTTTGTTTGATGGTTTGGATTTTGAATTAAGATTTGAATAGTAAAAAATTTGAATTGAAATAATTGTATGATATGATATAAATATGTATTGATACGATATTTTAAATACAAATTTAATTTGTAGTATAATATAAAAAAATATGTTTATTTGCTATTTTGAAGAAAAAAATTGAATAAATAGTAAATTTGGGTATAATTTTATAACTAAAGACACTATATACATATTAATTTATTTATTTTTTCTTATTTTTTAATAAAAATTTTCTTTTGTTCCCTACTTTTTTACTGGTGTAATTCAAGATAATTTTTTTTTTTTTAATCTAAAATATAATTATACTTATTACGTATTTTATTGATAGTTTTATAAAATATTGAAAAAATATTCCATACATATTTATAACAATTTATATGTATGATATGTTTCTTTTTTTTATGAATATAATATTGATAATTATTTGGTTTATATATATAGTTTTTATTTTTAATACTATTTTCGTCCACTTAATAAGTTGACATTTATTTTTTCTATGTTAATATTTATATATTAATTATTATATTCAAACGTAGTACAAATCAAGATAAAATTAAATAAAATATTTATTTTATAAAACAAATATAATAATATTTGTAATATATAAATATTTTTAATATTAAACACAATGATATAAAAGATAAATATAAATTTATTAAAGGATTTTTTATTGAAAAGTAAGTCATAATAAAAATTATTAGTAAAATCATATTTTATCTTACATTATTTCTATTTTCTAGTAATAATAAAAAAAAATATAAAAGAGCTATAATTATATCTATACATATATCATATTAGGATATATATATGTAAAAGATATATGATTTGCAATATTATTACTATTATATTTTTATTTTATGTTTTTGAAATTTTGAATTTTTTATAATTAGTTTAAAACTTTTTATATGTATGATATATTAATATTTATATTTTTTTATGGTTAAAAATATTATGAGATAAAATATAATTTTGTAAAATTTTTATTATGATTTACTTTTATAAAAAATTATTAAAAAAAGAAATAAAAATCAAATAATTATTAATATTATATTTATTAAAGAACACACAAAAAAATTTTAAAACCAAAAAAAAATTATAAAATTTACATTAAAACTATCATTGTCATCCAAAAATTATAAAAAAAAAAAAGAAAAAAAAATAAATGTATCTTAAATTACATTATGAAGAAGATAATGAACAAAAGAAAAATTATACTACTTTTATCCTGCTTTAAGGGTCCAATTTACTTTCGTATATATTTGAATATTAATTATTATATCAAAATATAGTACAAATTAAGTAAAAATTGCAAAAATATTTGTATAAATATTCTTATATTTGTATAATTTTTCTGTACAATTGTCTTTTCATTAGTATAAGAAAATATTAATTAAAGTATTTTTGTAATTTTTTTTTTTTAAATTTTAATTTAATAATTTTTATTTGTATAAAAAATATCAAATAAAAAATGATGATCTTTTTCTGACAAAATGCTACTTAGTATCATTTATTTTAGAAGAGGATAGTGTTTTTTTTTTCTTTTTCTTGCTTATTCAATACTTCCTTCATTGAATTAGTTTTTACTCCCCTGTCCCATATAGTCTCATTTCTACTGTAGATACAAGAATGTAAGAGAAGTATAATTAGTAAATAATTAAAATTATATTAATAAAAATAATTTAAAAATAAAAAAAATAAATTAAAATTTTCAAAATAAAATTAAAGTGTATAATATTTTTTCAAAAAAAGAAAAATGATAGATAGACACTGTAAGTAAGACGAAGTGAGTATTGTTTTAATAAATTAAAAAATAATAATATTATTATTTAATATTTAAATATAATTATTTTTATTAAAAAAATAAATATTTTAAATTGACATGAGGAAAATAATAAAAATGATAATAATACATAAAATTAAATTTGAATATTACTACCCCTTCCCTCTTTCTCCTTCCGTCCCGTCCCTCTCACCCCTCATTTGGACCGAACATACCCTAATTCGTTTGAGGGGTTTCAGACGATCGTCGTCTTCCACAAGGAATCGGAGCTCAGAATCCACTCTTTAGCGTTCAATTGAAGGTATTCAGTGCTCAATTTCTCACTATATATGTAAATATTGGCTTTGTACTAAATTTGAATCTGCGGTTAAACACGGAGGTTTAAGGTATATCATGGCGGATGTAAGCTTAGGTATCCTCATAGATATCGTGGACGAGGAGTGGATGAGAGATACTATACCTGATGACGGTACTCACCTCATTTTAGTTATTAATCTGGATTCACTGTGCATAACTACTTGATGAGGAAATTGATCTGGTACTTGCCTCGATGTGTTTCAGATGTTCCATTGCCCCCTGTTCTTGCTTCCAGAACTGAGGACGTTGAAGATTCGAGTACGCTCTCTTCTAATTGGTTGATGATTGAGATTTTCTTTGCGAAATTAGGGTTTCAAGTTTGACTTATTTTGATGCTCCCTACACAAGAAGATTTCTGATGGTTTCTTAATTGAGGAATGTGATGAAGGGAATTGTCTGGTAACATTTGAGTGTTAGCATTGCATCTAAGAACATTGATAGATATATATTTGTCTATAGAGACATTATTTCTTTGTCCGTCTTACCCTAGTCCATTAGCAAGAATTTCCTGCTTTGAGGTGTATCAGAACACCTTTCTGCTGTTGGGGCTTATTTATTTTGGATGCTGAGAATTTAAGATGGAAATTGGAATATCTTGAAGCTTGTCGGATCTCCTAGGAAGTAGAACAATATGTAGAACAGCAATTAGTTTCAAGATATCAATCTCGAACCTCCCCACAGGTTTGATTATTATGCAACGATTCTGGCTTCTTATTTTCTAAGCATCTCTTGCCTGCATTAATACGTGTGTTCTCTTAACTTCATCACTAACTTTTTAATTTTTGAGGTTGATAAATGTTGGAATATTAGGCTTTCTGCTCGTAAGCTATGGCTTCTGATGCTGAGAATGTTCGATGGGATTTGGGTTGTAATGTCGAATTGCTTGTCCTCCTAATGCATCATCGATACAGTAACTACACACGCACGAGTTTCATAGAAATCTTACTTTCATGTTCAACAACTAAGTTACTAAATGATCTGTTGACTCTATACTGTTTTGATCTCATGAAATGACTCAAGTTTTATAGCAGCTGCTATATTTTAGCTTCCGGGCTTCTAATCTTTTGAGTCTGCAACCTCTGTGATGTTTTCAGATCAAGAAACTCAACCAGTGAAGGCTGACGGCTGGCACGACCTTGCAGTGGCAAACCAGTAAGGCATCCAACTATGATTTATTATACATCTTGAGGCTGTAGAGAGTCGATTATGCTGCTCAAGTTTCAGGATTCACATGAACATCGATCGAATATCTTTTCTTGGTTGTGTTGTGTTTTCCATTTCCCCATGTTCTTGCTTTTCTGATGTTATTCTTCTTATTAGGTAATTCAACTTTGGATGTGCTCCAGAGATATGTAGCTTCACTTCATAGAAATCAATTTGTTGTGCAAATGAATGGGATTGCAATTTGCTGGCCGGGTAGAGTGTTTGAACTTGTAGTTTTGCCATATGTTTGTAGTTGTATTTATGCCATATGAATGCTAAAATATTACTAGCATGATCTGAACTATTTATTATAAAGGTTAGGTCAAAAACTTTTTTATTTAACCAGAACAAACTTAGGTCTAAATAGAAGTCTTTTTAATTAACCGGTCAGCTTATTTATTATTATTATTTTTTTATTTTTTTTATTTTTTATTATGATATATTAAGAATAACTTCCTATCTAATAATGATATTTATTAAATAATTTTAATTATAAAAAATAAAATTTTTAACTTTTATATATATTAAATAATTTGACGTACTTTATTTTTTTTTTTTATTTTTAATACTAAATTTGTAAATAAATAAATAAATAAAAATATTATGTAATCTCAGGTTTAGACTATGGGCATGTTCGTTAGCAATCAGTATTAGCTGTTTGTATTAAATATTTGGTAAAACAATTGTTTGATATTAGTTGTTTATACGTACAATTCAGGACATTTTTATTTTATTTTTGTTTCTAATATATTCAATTATGTTCTTTTGAATTTAGAATGTTTAAAATTTTTTGTTATTAGTTATTGAAAATTGTAAAAATGTTATAAAAGTATTTATTTTATTACAGTTAGATTTAAAAAAATAATATATTTTTATTAAAATATATAAATAGTTTTTTCTATTAAAAATGATGTAAAATATAAAATAATAAATTTTTCGTGTATATATTTATTATGTTAATTATCGATTAGTTCATTATAATATAATTTTTCAATAAATTTAATTTATTTTTAGTATAAAATTTATATAATGTAATTTTAATATAAAAATAAATTATTAATATTTATATTTTCTATTTTACGTTAATTTTAATAAATTTATATATTTTACAATTAAAATAATTTTTATATAAAAATTAATTATTTTAAATTTATAAAAGGAAAACTATATTATAATAAAATATTCTAATATAATCAATAAATAATCAAAATATATTTATCTGTGTAAAATGCATAATAAATTTTTAAGGGCATACAAGTAATAAAATTTTTTTTACAGATAAATTATTTCAAAACGCTGATCGGAAATTACTTTTTGGATCCAAAAAGCTATTTCAAAAAACTAATTTACCAAACATCTAAGTCAAATAGTAATAGTAAAAACTGTTCAATAAACTAAAAGCTCTTAAAAAAACTATTTGTCAAACACCCCTAAATATTTTTAAAACATGCTAGGCCTATTTCCACCATTCCACAATATTAGTCTACATTTTTTTTTTTCCATTTCTATCACATAATTTATCTTTCTTTTGTTAAAAATAATTATTCGTTCTAATAATATTTTAAATTTAGTAATTTATAATTTTTTTAATTTTAATTAAATTGTTTAATTATTTAATATTAAAAAACACAATTTTTCATATAGTAAACAAAATGCATCTATATAAAAACAGAAAATAAACCCGTTATTTTTAAATATTAATATAATAATTTAATTTCAAAGGATACAAAAAAGGCAGGGGAAGGCAGGCGTATATTAAGGATGTGTTTGTTTGGAACATTTTTTCCAAAATTTACTATTCATTATTTTTTTTTCCACCCTAAAAACATCAAATCGAACATTTCCTATATTGTACTAATAAAACCAATTTTACATTCAAAACAATCACCATCAAAATCAGAACCCCCAAACAAAGACATCCTAAATAAATGATGATCCATTCAGAACCAATAAACCAATTAACTAGATCAAAAGAAACACAACCATTAGAAAGACTGCCATTGCCACATCAAAAATAGCAAGAATATCCACTACCAAATTTAGCTGTTTCACTACCCCACCCCACCCAACGAACTTCTTGATTCCCAAAATACAAATCTGAGAGTAAACGAACTATCTATGTGTATCTTATCTATGAGGAGGAAATGAATGACCTCAATCATGGGCAGATTTAGCAACAAAATCGTTGGATGGAGATTTGCTAACCTGAGGGATATTGTAAACGCTAGCAGCCACTGAAGCTCCTATGGCTACTGATAATCCCACAAGTCCCCACACCCATCGCCTCCTCCGGCTCCGGCTCCTTTTCCGTTCTTGCTGTCTGCGCGCCACCTCTGCAACGACACCACCAACCTCATCATGTTCAAACAATAGAAATTTCATGACAGCAGATCCTGCTATAATCAACTGGCTAAAAACAAACAATGAAGTATTCAACTACACACCAAACTCATCGAGTTATTAATGTCTACAAATTGATAGCATCATGTTGTCACAGTATTCTAACATCTATGGCTTCCCAAGAATTTTGCATTCCAATTTGTATCACTAATCTCAACAAAAACCCTTCATAAGAATTTCATATCAAGTTTGCATCACCAATATCATAAAATCTTTGATGCGAAAAGATGCAACAAGCAGAGCAAAAACCATCACCCTTTGCCATAAGCATTTCTTCACAAAACAAAAGTACACATTAAGGAAGCAGAAAATGTCCTCGTACATTATTGCACTTTGATGAACCAAACATTCAGAAACTCGAAAGTTCCAAGAAGCTTAACTAACATTAATGAAGGCCGCAGATTTAATTTAAGCCCATCATAAATAAATTCGTATCAATTTCAGGTCTTACTACAGTAATAGATAGTACTTACAACTTACAACTTCAACCAAAACCTATTGTCACAAAATTAGTTCATGCAGTAGGCCAAGTGAAAAACTGAAGGTGATCTATGATAAAAAATAACAATTAAACAATCAGGGATCAATAAGTTAGTCAAGAAAGCTGAACTAAAGAAACTTACCCACAAGATTCCTCTGGGATAGTTCATGATTGACAGTCTCATAGTACTGCAGTCTATCCCGCAGCCGCAATATCTCCTGGTCTTTCAATTCAATAGCTTTCGCAGCAGCTTCTTCAGCTTCAGCACGAGCTTGACCCCTTCCAACTGCCTCAGCAACAAATGTAGCAATTAACATTTCCTGGGAAATACGGTCTGCCAGATTGTCCTCGGACTGCATACCACCACCAGACGGAAATGCAGGAACTGTTAACCCCGCCTCAGCCATGAGGCTCTTCATCCTCTCCCATTGACAATGCATCAAAACTACACTTTCTTCCGCAGCTTTTCTCCTGTCAATTTCCTCAAGAAGTCTGAGCCTTGAGGCATGCAATTCTGATGCAATTCTACTATCACAAGAATCAGCATTAGAAGACGATCCATCGAAGGAGAATTCTGCCAACACAAGAAATTAAATTATTGTTAGAAGCAAATTTAGATTACAAATAAAGCTATAGATCTTTCTATTCTAAGCTCCATCAAAACATATCATAAAACCATAAAGATGCTTGATAAACAAAAACAAAGCTCCATGATGCCTAGATGAATGAAGATAAACTTTATAGCATATGCGCAAAGTATTGAAAAACACTTAGAATCATATGCACATCGTCGACAGATATTTCATCAGAAAGTCCTGCAATCTTCAGTTAGCTAAAGTTTATGTCAATGATAATATCTCAAATTTTTACAAATAAATTCCCTCCTTCAGTTGGTAATTAGAACAATAATAGATTATAGGCACAAAGTGAATATCTAATGAGAAATACCATCAATTGCATCGAAAAATTCCCCCTGAGCAGAAACATAGCTCCGCGTATCGATTTCCTTCGTGCTCAAACTAGCGGCGTCGTCGTCGTCGTCGTCGTCCTTACCCCTAGCCTCATCGCATGGCAATTCCAGAGCTCCGCGCACGAAAAAATCCCCATCCTCGTTACGAACAAAGTCCTCATCGAAAAAATCTACTCCAACCACTTCCGTCTGCTCGTTCTCCAACCCCAAAACATCGCCCTTATCTAACTCCGGAACTGCACTACCCTCGTTTCTCCCTCCGCGGCGCTTGTGGTTAACCACGTAAGGGGAGGGCGAGTGCGGAGTAGCGTTTTCCGGTAGAGGGGCTTGGTGAGGAGTCGAATACAACGCCGGCATAATATACAAGTGCCTGGGACCACCATTTTTTGCGTCCGCCTCTCCATTTTCATGGAGGGGGTTCTTCTGCGAATCATGAGCTCCATGGTGGAGAAAATTGTCCAAGGCTACCGCTGTGAGGGTCGGCATGGATTTCCTTCTTTGGTGAGACGGCAGAATGGTTTGGTAGTTATATCAGTGGTTTCGCCGCCATTGAAGGAGGGAAAAGAGAGGGGAAAGGTCGCGAGAGGAGGGGGGGGGAGGAAGGGTCGAATATGGAAATAAAGAGAGATACAAAGAAAGAAATATAATACTAATAGGAGTATTTGAATTGATTTGAAAATCCCAATCGCAGCTGCATATATAAAATAAATAAATAAATAAATAATATAGGAATTAAAGAAGGGGCGTGTTTGGTAGGTCGTGGCCGCGGGTAGGGTAGGGTAGGGTAGGTTTTCGTTCTACAGAGAAATCTTGTGATGCAAGCAGGCAGGCTGTCACGTGCCACAACTTTTCCTTCAAGTTTGGAAGGCTCAGCTTGATTGGGCTGGGCTGGGCTGGGCTGGGCTCGGAGCATCACATATACAACTTGGTCAATTGCCGTGTGAAAACACACAGTTGAAACCATAAAGGAGGAATGGCAGATGCTTTGACTGACTTGACTTGACTTGTATTTCAAGAAATATCATGTATCTATGGATATATTAAAAAGTTTTTTTTTAAAAAAAACCTGCCCTGCCCTTCATTTCCAGTCCACTCCTCATCGTATATAAATGGTGTGTTTGTTTGGGTTTTGGATTTTAAGTTGGGATTAGAATAGTAAAAATTTTGAATTTGAATAGTTGTAATATAAATTGGTGTTGATGTGATATTTTGAATATAAAATTTATTTTTAGTATAATATAAAAAATAAATAAATATTTGATTTGATATTTTTTAGGAAAAAAAAATGGAATAAATAGTAAAAATTTAATCCAATCCCCCAATCAAACACACCTAAAATATATATATAGTTCTTTACGAACAATTTTGCCTAGCATTTAACATTATGAATTCTCACTCAATTGGGAAGAAATGGAGAATGAATTCTCTACATCCAACTACATACATCTGGCATTCCAAATATCATACAGACAGACAGACAAACACATGGGATCAAAAAGATATCGATATCATCAAACAACACTATTAGAATCTCGATTTACAAATCATCTCAAGAACATAAAAGTCGGACAACAGTAGCTCGCACATCAGTTCATATCACAAGAAATGCTGCCGGGCAAGCAGGCAGGCAGGCAGGCTAGCTAATGGAACACATCAATATCACATGAATGTCGCCGTGGTGCTGCGCCGGTTGTTTTTAAGCTTTGGTTCAACAATGGTATATATATTTCTCATTCACATGGCGCCGCCACATCAAATCCCTATAGAAACCGAAAAATATATAGTCAACTAACCTGCATCGATTTTCCTTAGGTGAAGTCGATCATTGGGAGCTCAGCACGGACTCCTCCTGACCCTTGGCTATTCAGCGGCTGTTGGGCACCCACAGACATAGTCGATGCATTATTCACCGTTGGGGGGACAGCTTCTTCAGTTCCAATAGGCTCTGAAGCAGCTGGGGATGATGACTTGGGTACCTCAGATTCTTCTACAGGAACATTGCTCGATTCCGGAGCCTGGTTTCCAGACTCGCCGACCGGAGGGGCAGAAGAATCTGATTCGGGCTGCAATGAAGCAACAGGCTCAGAAACTGTGGCAGTTTCCACTGGTGTAGCAGTTGCAGATGGAGCCACCGTGTCGGAGTTCTGTGGAGCACCCGACTCAGATGGGGGAAGAGCACTCGACTCTGAAGCAGAGGATGAAATGCTCTGGGGTTTTGCATCAGGTCCTTCCAATTGCAATGGTTTCTGCTGTGAACTCGGGAGGGCAGCCGTGGGCTTTTTCATACCAATTTGACCGGGATTAGGACCGTACAAAGACGACATTCCAGGTGGAAGAATTTCAATGGGAGGCTTTTTAGCGGCATCTTGCAAGCTGGTGATCTTAGATTCTTCGAGAGATGCCAGAAACGCAGCTGCGGCATCCATTTTGATGGAGGGTGCATGCTCAAGCTCTTTCTGCAGCATCTTATTCCATGCCTGAACTAAGCTCCTCAACGTTGGTCGACCTTGGGCCTGATGGAAAGCACAAACAGCTTTGATCAGATTAGATTCAAATGAATTTTTAGCTAATAGCATACATTATTAGAAAACTAATAAACCCATACATGAGCATGAAGTACAGCCTCTGCAAGCATTCCCGTCTCCTGCCAGGCCTTCTCCATCAGCACATTGTCTCCCAAAAGGGCAGCTGCAAATGCAGCTTCTCTTCCAGACCCCACAGATATCAAATTGCTCACCAAATTCTGCAGAATGCACAAATTATCCAAACATGTGATAGTAAAACGGAATGAAATTATAGACAGGTAAAGGCTTTTGAGTACATACGCCAAGTCGTGTCAACTCCCCATGATTTGCTAGTCGTAAGGCAAGCCCTCTTAATTCATGACCTTGCAGGGCACCTTTTACGGAGCCTGCAGCAGCTACTCTTTTAAGAGCTTCACGGGCCGTGTCAGTTTGCCCAGTAGCATCTGCAGCATCAATAAGTTCAAGGAACTCCTTGGCAAACTTAACTACCCCTTGAACAGCATCGACAACGTTTTCCTTCTTTGATGACAAATTCATAATGTCATTCAGATTCAATCCAAGAGCCTCTTGTCCGATATCCCGGCTGTTGCTCATTGTTAGAAGGCACTGAAGAGCTCTTTTTAGATCGCTGCTCTGCATTGCCAGATCGAATTCCAACCTCTTAGATATACCAGGCAAGTGAAGTGCCTCATTGGCATAACCCATTCCCATCATAAATTGTGCTAGATCATCATGATGTTCTCGGCCTAGCCTGCTAGCCCATTTTACTGCACTGACAGCATCTCCATAGGCAGCGAGACATCGACAGCGAATACCAGGATGGCCAAGTGATATTGCATGCGCCGACATGTACCTGTCAATCAGCCAGAGAACACCATCTCTTACACCAGCAATAACAAGAGGTCCCACTGGTCGTTTTTGCTCTGCTGGAAATCTGGTGACGGCAACAGCAACCCCACCACCACCCACAGCTACCTCGTTAGTTCTCCTTTCTTCAAACTCTTTGAGAATTGCCGAATCATTACCATCTACTTTAGACTGTCTAGGCAATGTTATGAATGGAGGTATGGAGGGAGCATGCTGAAAGGAAGCTAATCTGACAACCTGAAGCATCGGTGGCCGCAATGATACCCTCTCTTGCACAACTGATTGCTGACTATCAACAGTTATTAATGCCAATTCTCCATGTTCGGAAACAGCTCTTGATTGAGCTTCCATGAGTTTTACCTCTTCTTTCTTCTTCTTTGTTTCAATATCGACAGGAGTGATGCCAGCATCCACATAGACACACTCAATTGTGGTTGGGGTAGCAACAAATAATTGCCTTCGTTGCCAAACACCTCCAGTTGCATAAGGTATTGCGACATCTCCTAAGTAGCGAAACTGAGGACGCAATGAAGATATAACGATGTATTGCTGATAAGCAAAAGCACAATATTCAACAGTTTGGTCCCATGCCGTCCATTCAGGTTGAGGAAGAAGACCCCCAACAGGTTGAAAACTTTCCCAGCTGTATAATTGGAAATTTGGTGGTGCTGCTTCAGAAGAAGATTTCTGTGAAGAATATGCATCATCCATGGTGCTGAAAGAAGAAGTTGAAGTACCCCCAAATCCTGATAAGGGCATAGACTGAATTGTAGAAATAGCTGTAGCAGCACCAGGGCTTATTCTTCGGGATGTACGGTAAGCTACGCCAAGTAGGGCTCCCCCATGCAAACCAACAACTGGTTCACTGCGGTTACCCACAGATCTCATCAATATGTTTGATGTGCCATCATCCAGCAATATCCGAACTTGAACACCAGCAGATGATGCTGCAGAGGCTGCTGCTGCCGCAGCTTGGGCGGCTGCAGCTGCAGCTTCCTTTGCTTTCCTTGATGAGCTGCCTTTAGGAATTATTGGCATTTTGAATGGTGGCAAAGACTCCAACAAGGCAAACCTGTCTCTACATGTGTCCCAAGCCAATAGCCTTGCACTACCTGAATCGACAATCGACCAATCACTGACCTTATAAACTGAAAAGTAAGGGATGTCAGGCCACACAATGGCAAGAAACCTGCATAATGGAAAGAAAATCAAAGATGTTAAAGAAGGTGCTAGCTAATATCCACTTGGAGGACTCCCAGCACAGCAATGCCTCTCCTGAATGTGCAGAATAGGTAGTGCTCGAGCAGTGATCCTATTTTAAGCAAGAAATATCAAAATGATTACTCACTTTCCTGAACTGCTCACAGAAAGCACCGAATATGAATCGTGGGGTACAGGCATACTAATATGCTTTTTGACTTGCTTTACATGGAGCTGTTCAAGCGTCTCTCCTCTGACTCTTCCCATTTCATTCAAGGTGCCATTATTTCCAAGAGCTGCATTTCCAGTGTTAGACAATTGAAACTGTAGAAGTTTCAGTTCCCTTTCAACAACATAAACAGCAGAATGCTCTCTGCTTCCTGCTACCGTTGGCAAAAGAGCAACTGGTGGTAGTGATTTCATATCAAATTCACAAACAAGGACACCCATGTTGGTCCCAGTAGCAACAAGGTGAGGTTGTAAAGGATGCGCAACCATGGAATACACCTAAAACAGAAGAACTAGGTGCTCAACATTAACTGTTTTTTTAGAAATTAATCCGTTGGTGGACCAAAATAAATGAATAAAATATTGAAATCTTACCCGTAGCTTCTTGTGAGAAGCAAGCAATTGGGGCGGGACTAAAGATGACAGTTCACACAATGGCCTTGTTAGAGCTGAATATGTTGGATGCTCAATTGCCCTGTCAATGATTTTGATGGTAATAAAAACTCCCCAAATATAGCAAGTAAATATGCATGCCTGAATAGCATCAATTATAAATAACTTGGTATTCTTTTGAACGATCACTAACAAACCAAAGCACAAGTTGAGAAAAGCTGAATGGAAGAACATATAACACAATCTTAAGCTTCACAGGAGGCAGGTACACACCAGATATGGGAATCTTTAACGCATGTCAAGATATCAAGATTTGGTGCTCGAGGATGGCACCAAGAGGCCACACTATGACAGGCCAGTTTTGAAACAGGCTTTATCCGTCGTAGTTCCTAGGGTAAGAAAATTAGAATTAAAAAAGTAGAAGAAATTTCCAAAATTGATTCCTCATCTTGATAGGTCTAGATAATTTTCCAGAATTCAGTAGAAACCTTGAATGATATTGTGTCCCATATAGCTAAAGTTTTGTCTGCGCCAATTGTAATCAGTTGTGGTGCAGCACCAACTACACGGGAAAGCTCAACAGCAACAACCCCTCCATCATGTGCCTACAACACATAGCCTCAACTATTCAGATAGCAAAACAAATTGCAGAAGAATCCAACTTCACAAACTTGAAGCACCCCAAAGAATAGCTATCGATATAAAATGAAATAAAAAAAATTAAAAAAAAAAAAAAACCTAGAAGCAAAGATAAGACTTTATGAAGACAATTACTTTTAAGCTCAACTTAGGAACAAGTTCTCTTGAATCTTGACCGTAGTCAGCATTCCATAGCACAAGCAAACCATCACTACCACCAGAAACCAAAAGGGCCTGATTCAAATGCACATCAGAATAACAGGGGTAAATTATTAATGAAAGCACAATAAGAGGTACCAGAAACAAATTATTAATGACAATACAATGAGAGGTACCGGAAACATATGTTCATAAATTGGCTGGATAAAAACGGCATGAAATTAAGGCATGAGGTTTAGAAATATGAATTATACATTATTTCACCAGTTCTGAATTAAATGTGATTATATGTAAGACACAAATCATCAAAGTAGATCCTTGATTAGAATCGCATATGGGATTCATGGCACAAGATATCATTAAGTTATCAAGCTTAGAAAGAGTGTTTGGTTCTTTCAAAAGATTAGAATGAAATATTTAGATGATGAATGAAATCAATCTCAAATGCTATACCCAGGAAATTGATCCAGAATATCCATCATAACAATTAAAACATGAAAGGACGAAGTTCCACCTTTTTAACACCTGTGAACTCTCAAGAATGCTACATTTGCCCCACAAATCACAAGAGATGCTTTCCCACTAAAAGATTCAACCAGTAAAGCTATCCAAGAATCATAGAAACCTTTTCAAGCCAACTATAATCAGATTTGGGCTTCAATACTCATCCAAGGTTACACTAATGATATGCACAATTTGAATATAGTTTAATTACTTAACCACTTTCAACTGTCCATGCCTGAATTTGAACACACTAAAAGGCCAGAAAACCAACAAAGCAGGTCCGGCTTTGATACCACTTAACTGGTTCACCTAAAAGTTTAAGCTTGAAGGGATATACATCATTTATTTATGTATATATTACGGAGTCAAGCAACAGTCTGAAGGCCAAGCACAACTCCACACTTCAACATAGGAGTTTTACAATTAATCAATGAGGGAACTACCTCGCCAGTAGAAGCCATGAAAGTCATCAAACAAGAAATTGATCCTTTGTGACCTCCAGTATATCTTCTAGCAAGCTGCAACCAAAACAAAGATATCAGAAAATGTTAGCAGACAAGTTATTCCTTTCGCTTGAGATACCAGAAGTTAAAATTTTTGTAGATTGAAAATAATTTAGAGACCTTCCATGTTAGCATTGAGAGAACTCTAATTACACCATCAGATCCACCAAATGCCACAAGAGGCCCATCATTAGCAGATGATCTACACAGGAACTCCATGCTGCACAGAAATAAGTTCCCTTGGTTTTCAGTATGTCTTTCCACATATTTGAAATCAAAGTGATAATACATTCAGGCAAGATATACATTCGAAACTTAGTGGCAAAGAAAAAATAAAGGTTTTGAGTCTCATCCTGCAGGTAGTAATTATCAATAGGCACAACTCTAATATTAAAACTAGGACATATTATAGTATATGTACAGTCTGACTAAGTCTCTGCGTCTCAGCTGCTGAGCATATATGACCCTTTAAAAATAATTCTCTTTCGCTAACTACATTGCAGCTATAAGCAAGTGTTGCACAACAAGAATACAAAGGGATTAATCATGTGTACACATAATTGACAGGCAAAACCCCACTAAAGAGGAATTAATTGCATATGAATTGTATTCAACTGTGCCAAGGACTGCATCAAATGATATTATAGAGAATCTAGGTAGCATTATGTACTGATAATCCGTAGTATGCTCCATAGAAATTAAGAATCATATTAAATGATAAAAGGTTAAATTATAATCGCATGGTTCCCCCCTCTAACAAATCAAACACTATAAAGTATCAAGAAGTTAAATAAATTGCAGATACCAATATTATCTATTAATTAGAGTAGAACCTTTATCAGGCAATGTTTATACAGTAAAATAAGTCCTTCCATGTTATACGGTTTAAGACTAATATGTTTTAATGATATTCATAAATTTTCAACAATCCAATCTTCCAAGCACATCCTAGCGCACATATAAGGGTAACAGAAATGAGCAACTTGCTGCCTTACTGTACAAATGTTTACATTCATAATAAGTTATAAACTAGACTCAAGCAACCTCAGAAAAACATCCATACTTTGTCAAACTTTTATCTCAATAGAATGTCAAAAAATATATAGATTCAAAACTTGCCATAGAAGAGATCTATTGTCCAAATCTTGCTTTGGGACATCTCGGCCACGCATCGTCACAAGATCGAGGAAAATAGCTTTGTTCTCACAACATATAACAAGAAAATGGCGTCCTTTTGTTGAAGGGGCTGGAGAATTGAATGATGAAGTGATATTGCTGACAGCTGTTGGAGCTTCAGCAGCAGCTGCTCGATTCTTCCAGAGTTGCCAATAGTGCACATCATCATCATAAAAACTAACCTGTTTAACACTTGACACCAAATACACAATATCAGGCTTCAGTTTAACAAGCAAGGGACTGATGTAAGACTATCTGTACTTCAAAAAAAAAATAAAAATTCCAAGGTAAATGTGATTTGTGTACCTCCCCCCTCGAATGGCTTCTGTGGGTTTTCCTCTAATAAGCTCTAACATGCATCAAAGGAATAGTGTCAGAGCTCATTAGTTAAAAAGGAGAATCAGAATATCTAGTTGAGAAAATCAATAGCAATGGTACACAATGAATAGCAAAAGAGACACCAATATAAATGAAATGATCCCCCAGAAGTGTGAACAGTTGCATACAATAAGACTCACATAAACCCATCAAGGAGTGAACAGCACATTAAACAGGTAAATCAAATCTAAGATTGCCCCGAACAAATTGGATGAAGAATTTACCAATTGCTTAAACACTATTTTGAATATTCAGATCCACTACTCAGTTTTTTCATAATTTCCAAGAGAATGTCTATATCCGAACATTCTTCAAATGACATTTCCACACAAAGCCCGAAGATCAGTTGAAGCTCTTGATCCCGGCACCACAGAACCTCACATTCCAGCTTTCAAATCCAAACCACAAGTAGACAGTAAAAAACAACTCAAAGCAACATCAATTTATTCCCACCGATCTAGTATTCCCGTTACCATACATCATCCTCCACGCTAAAGGTCTCAGCAACCTAAAACTAAGAAAATGCAATCATAAAAAATACCTGTATCGCCCTCTGCTAGCTTCTCCAATTTAACACCAACCAAACGCCTCTCATCAACACCACCAGCTTTCAACTCGTACACCACCTAAAAATTACTAAACATTCAGTTCATACACCATACCCATTTCACCGCACACATAATAATCTTCACAAAGACAAAGGAGTACGAACGAATAAAGAAAAAATTGAACCTGACGGTGCTCCCAATTCCAAACGGAGACATGATCTGATGCATCAGATGTGACGAGCCAAGGGTGCGTAGGGTGCAATTGAATCTTCACTATCTTATCATTCGTCGGGCGAAAAGCGCGCAGCCGTAGCATTCTGCTCAAATCCCTCACCCAATTCTTTGAGCTAAACTATGGATCTGACGCAGAAAACAAAAAACCCTCAGTAATTTTTCACCGATAAACCCCTGATCTCTCGGGAAATGAAAGGGTCGCGACTGTGATTCAGATCGGCCCGATCCCGGGGCATCGGTTTGATGCTGCGAGCTTAGACAGGCACAACTTCTGGGAATTACGCTACACAACTGGGTACAGGCAGCAGCAGGAGCGAAACCAGCTTTGGATTCAGCACAACAATGTTGGTTTCGTTCGCTTCCCTTCTTTGCTCCGGAGAAACTGTTGAATCTATAACAATGGTAGAAATGTTGGTCAAAATTAAGGACGTGAAGAAGAACATAAGTCGATTTTTATTTTCTTTACTGTTACTTTTTTTTTTTTTTTTTTTCCAGTTCGACTCGATCCGACCCTAACTCTATTCTATGCAATAATAAACCTACCCTGTTTAATTTGTTTAATTTTGGATCAGTTATTAGGGTGTTTTTGTTTGGAGAATTTGTAGAGATTTTAATTATTCATTTAATTTTTTTTAAAAAAAATATTGAATTAAATACGTATTTTTAAAATTTTTATATTATATTAAAAATTAATTTTACAACATCATATCAATACCTATTTATATATTATACAACTATTTCAATTTAATTTTTTTACCGTTCAAATTTCTAACTCAAAATCCAAACCCCCAAACAAACACACCCTAAATTTCATCCGAGCACAAACACACCCTAAATTTCATCCGAGCTATGTGCTACTCGTTGTTCTTCCATTTCCTTTGTGCTCGCGGAATTCTTGTTCCAATCTCTTTTTTTTTTCATTAGGCTTTGTGCTTTTCTTTGTTCTTTCATAAGATTACTTATTGTATTACGGGTTCTTTGGTGTCAAATACTTGATTTCTTCCTTTTTGTGGTGTCGCTTCATTCGGAAGGTTTAGAGTTGACACGGAATATGTTGTAATCTAAGTCAAAAAATATTACCGATACGTTCGATTATAGCATCGTTTTCTTTGTTTTGTTTAATTTATTATTTTGATTCATTGACACTAATCTACTAATACTCTTTGTGAGAATTATTTGTTTGCATGAACAATCCGAGTCGATTCTAAGGAAAGAAATTTCCAACAATTGTACGACAATTTTACCGTTGAAACATAAGTTGTGAATTTTAAGTTTGCCCTGAAATTGATAATAAAAGACAAACTCTTATATTTTATTTGATAATTAGTCATAGGGTAAGTTCTTTTATGATTAGTCTTGGTTTTTATATCCCCATTTTCAATTTCTATTATTATGTGACATTACTATCTAGTCAGTTAACCACTGATAGTTAGTGAATTTGTACGATCTTTTTGCAGGGCAAATTGTGTGACTTTTGTGTGATACTTGCGTTATGAAAATTGTGTCTATTGCACTTTTCAATGAAGAAAATTTTTGAATTTTGAATTTAACAATGAAAAGTATCCTAGTAATACAAAAGGTTGTAAAAGTTATTAATGGTAATTTTTAGTCGTTTATTGACTGAAGACATAAAAATTTAAGTATATGAACCTCTATGAGATTAGAAATATAGAAAAACATAATCTACAAAAGAACTGTGAGAAAAGAATTTTATATGAAAAATTCTTTGTTCAATAATCTATTTCTACTTGAAAAGTTCTACAAATTTAAATGTGATTTAACCAAATCAATATATAAGAATCTTATATTTTTACTAAACTTATTAAATATATTAAACAAACATGAGAAAAAAATATTGATGAATACACTTTTATTGTGTTTTTTAATGTCATTTTCAAATATTTTTTTGATGTCAAATTATCCATATAGAGATATTTATTATTATTTTTATTTTACTTTTTTTTTATGACGTGGGAACCCGCAGCCGCTACCCAAAAGTGCTTACTGGATAAACCCACGGCCGAACCTAATACCCTGCAAACCAGGCCCGACGGAAAAGATATACTAAGCGAACCATGTGTAGTAGTAAAAAAGAAAAAGAAGCATTTGATTAACTTTAAATAAATCACATGATTTAGAAAATTTTGAAAATCAAAATAATAAGGGCAAAAGTAAAAGTAAGTTCTAGTATAAAAATAATAATAGGAAGTGTTATAATTGTAAGAACCAAAATTATTTTATTAATCAATGTCCACATCCAAAATTATTTTATAATGGGTAACGTGTTTATGGTAAGAGATAGTTTTCCTATTCGTGATTCTGTGTGCAAAACTGAGAGGTTACTTAATATTGCCTTAAGAAATTTATTTTCGATTTGTAACTTTGTCATATGTTTTTGTTGGTATTGGTTATGTTAGATCTAAAATTTAATTGTTTGGTTACATGTTAACTTTGAAATAAATTGATGTGCTACAACTTGGTGTTGTTCAATGTATTTGCATATATGCTTACTTTGTATTCTTTGTTTTTTTTTTGTGTCCAATAACTATATGATAAGTTGCACGTATTAAAACGATAATGTCAATATGTTCTCCACTCTTGTTATACTTCTTCAAAGCAATCATAATGGTTGATTAGAAATAAGGGAGAGATTATTAAATTTTTTGTTTTCGGTTCGACCTGATCCGGTTTGATTTGTTTAACATCGGATTTTTCTTCTCCCAAATCTCATGTGATTCGATAGACCCAATCATTTCTCTTTTTTTCTTCCTCTTGTTCCAACGACGATGCAATTTCAAGCCCATGCAGCTCAGAAATCTCCGAGATTGTTGCGATGAGGTATTTTTGCTTCTAATTTCATGGCTTTGTTAATTATCTCTTTGGATATATATATATATATTATATAGATAATTTAATATTTTCATTATGTAACTCATTATAATTTGAAACATTTTTCTCATTTTTTTTTATTTTCTTAATAATTTTAAAATTAATTTACTATTTTTTAAAATTTACATTTAAATTCATAATTAATGATAGTTATAATTATTTATACTAATTGATCATCATCAATACATTTTAATTACTTATTTTGCATTAATTACATAATACAAATTAGTTATAAATAAAATTTAGTATTGTACAATACATTAATATATTCTACAATGTAGTATAAGCCGATATACCAAATATTAAAATAATGCACGATATTTTAATATATAATGAAATATCAATATTATTTAGATTTCAGTATAGATTGAAAAATATCAAATAATATATTGTTATCGTACCAAAAAATTTAATATGATATGATATTGTATCAAAATTTTTAATATATTGAAGATTTCACGCTTCACTTGTGCAATTTGGTTGGATAAATTGCAGAGTACGACGAGTCCGTCAGCGGGTAGAGCTGTAAACAAGTCAAACAGAGCCGAGTTTGTCATGTTTGAGCTCAGCTCGTTAAGGATTCGAACTCGACTTGTGTTCGTTCGTTAAGAGATACGAGCTGAAATTTTATTTGAGCTCGATTCGTTTGGCAATTTTTTTGTTCGTGTTCGGCTCGGGTTAGCTTGTTAAGATATATTTTATTTTATTTATTTAATTTTTTTATTAAATTTAGTTAATAATAATTATAACTTTTATTAATAAATTTAAATAAAAAATAGAATGCAATATAATATTTATAAAGATATATATACTTATTAAATATAAAATCATTAATTTAATTTTTTCAATAAATACTATCGTTCACGAACAAGCTCGAGCTCATTCGTGAACATAACGAGCCAAAATTTATGTTTGTGTTCAACTCGTTTAGCTTAACGAACGAGCTTTTAGCGAGTTTAAACGAGTCGAACCGAGCCAAGCTCGCGAACTGTTCATTTGTTTTACAACCCTATCAGCGGGTAAAGGATTGTTGAGAAGTACCTCTGCGTCGCCTCCCCTCAAGTTTGGCTATGTTGTTTACACCATGGAGACCATGTTTGAGCTCTTCACCTTGTCCATCGAGGAAGTCATTTGCCATGTAAAAGGTGTTGATTTCATATCCGATGACGCCAACCACAACCAAAAAAGGTAAAACTTCTACAAATTGACGAGGAATGGTTGGTTCACCAGAGGAAAAAATAAAGCACCAATCAAACGTCATGCAATAATGACGGCCATATTCGACGTTGCGGAAGAGGTTGTGAACGGCTACCAAGACCAATGGTGGTTACAAAAACAGGTGAGAGTGCAAAATCAATAGAGATAAGTGCCACAAGTATGGAAAGTTTAGTTATTGGGCTAAAGATTGTTGACAACCACTCGCCAAGGAAGATGACTAGCAACCACATGACCGGAAACACCACTTTGCAAAGTTGGACACAAGTGCACCTGGTCAGTGAAATTTGGCAGAGGTTTGATCGTCGAAATTTGTGGATGCCGATGCAACACAGTGGTGTTCACAAGCTCAAATGGAGAGCATTGTACGATTACAGATTTCTACGCCATTTCAAGGCTAGAAAACATCATAAGCATTGGGTAATTTGATGAGCGTGGTGCAATGTGAGGAATGGTAAGGATAATGGCAAGGCCAGTATGTATAATGCCGCAACAAGACAATGATGACAATCATCTAAACTTTGAAACTTCAAATAAATTAGCTAAAGATAAGATGTTACGCAGACTTGCAATAATCGTTCACTCTAACGAAATTTGTGATTGATGTCTAACAGAAAAGCAAGGGCATACTTCCTCCCAATAGGTACACACTATCGGGCAGAAAAATTAGTTAATCTAATATACGGCGAATTGTGTCGTGAATATATGCCTATATATATATAATACTTGTAGAGGCTAACCAAGTGAATTAAAATATATATATATATATCATCATCATCATCATCATCCTCTTTATTGTCTTCAATCAGATCTTAAGCTTTATCCTTTACACAGGTAGCACACATGATCATTTGATGCTGCAATCTAGTCTAAACTCAAACTACAAATGACAAGCCAACATGAACATATATTTACATAGAGACTATAGATAATAAATGATCTGAATGAATATTATTCCAATGTAGAAGAAGCCATATTATTACCATAATAGTACTGTTTTTCAGGCTGAAGCTTCCCCATCTCAAAGCTACTTTTACCGCCATCAGCCTCTGCCGCCTTCAAGGTCTTTTTAGCATACACCGTGAAGGCAATGGTAGTGATAATAGCCACCACAAACGAAACTGTGTTGTAAATAATTTCCACCGGAGTTAGGTGATGGTTCCTATATTGGACATCCGCTAGCGTCCTTATTAGCCGACCACTGCCGAGGTCGGGTACCCAATGTCAAACCAAAACTCAAGTTAGCAAGAACAACATATCGAAAATAGTATAAATCACAATACTTGAACACTTTTGGAGGTTTTGGCGCTATTGATCAAAGTAACTTTATTCAAAAACATCCCATCAAATACCGATTATTTCTTATAAAACATCACAAAACCTCTCAAGACTAAATGGACTAATCTTGTAAAATGTTTGTTTGGGGCTCAATAACCTTCACCATGAGAGAAACAAATTATTTTCATAGTTCAATGCATCTAAATTGCATGAAATTTCCCTATGTTTTTTAAATAAAATGAAATCTTGAGAATAAAAGTTTTAATGCTACTTTCAATAGGAAATCAACAATGTTAGTCAAGCAAGGGACACATTTTTTTCATGGAAAAAATTCAACCGAGCAAAGAATTTTATTTGGTTTTAACAAAAAATTTAGGGTAAATAATACAATACCCCTTGTGTTTTTAGTAAAAAAGCATAAAACACATTGTATTTTATTTATTGCGTGAAATCCCCCCGTGTTAATATAAAGTTTGCACGAAACACTTTTTGTCCGAAACTGATGTTTGGTTCTAAATAAAAACCTAAATTACTCAAATTTTATACAAATAAAAAATGTAAAATATCTTAAATAATTTTTTTGAATAAATCAAATATCAATTTTGGACGAAAATGGTGTTTGGTGCAAACTTCACATTAACACAGAGGGTTTTCACGTAATAAATAAAACACGAGATGTTTTATGCATTTTTACTATAACACAAAGGATATTATATAATTTACCCAAAAATTTATAACTATTGTCAATGGGAAAGGAATAAAAAGGGAGTGTTTTGGGCGAAGACAAACCTGTAGATGTAAATGAAGGCTTCCGGTATCATTCCTGCAATCGATCCGCATAAATATGGCCAAAACCTCATATCAGTCACCACAATTGCATAATTGAAGATCGTGTAAGGAAAAGGGGAGATCCTAAAAAGTGCAACCACACGAAATTGATGGAACCAGCTTCCTTCCGCTGCGAGCCTCAACATTGCAGCGTTTTGAGGCCAACGCTTCAACCATTGCTGAGAATGATATTAAATAAATTACCATGATTGGAAAATAACTGCTGTAAAAAGATTGAAATATGTCCTACATGAATCCGGTCGCGGAAGAGTAAACCAATCAAGTACGGTAGGATCATCCCAATGGTTGTTCCAACCATAATGATGACAAACCCCAAGCCGTACCCAAAAATCATTCCGGCTAGCCACATGGATGGACCGGATGGGATTAGAAACACGGGGAACAAAGCTAAGGATGCTACGATTACAAGAGCAAGTACTGGACGGCCAAAGGCTGTGGCTTCCCATTGCAAGATTGGAAAAAGAACCTAATCAAGATCACGTCGTTAATAGCATGTATGTATGAAAAAACAGAAATATAGTATCTTTTGTCCTTCAAGAAAGGTCCATTTTAAGTTTCCACTTTTCTTAATGTTTAAGTATATAGAAATTCGAATTTGTCACCAAGTCGTTGCAATTTTGATTTCACAAGTTCTTTTGTCATAACTGAAATTCACACGCATGTCATTAAATAGTAACACTAAAATTTTTTTAATTTAACCTTGATCAACATAACTATAAACAGCGAAAGTGAAACCAACTTCTATTAAAAAGTATATTCTTAAATGCAACTAAATTTGAAATGGTTCTTCCATACAAGAAACGAGAAATGGTATTTTCCCCAAAGAAGAATGCACACAAGAGATAAGAAGGAAATACGTAAGAACAATCAATGCATAGAGATCAACATACCTTCTCGACAAGAAAGGGCATTCCCCATTTAACCAACACAAAGGTTAGTATTATGGCGATGATGCACCATATTATGGCCTTGATCCACCATGTCCGACCCTTCCGTGTTCGTGTTTGGGATTCTGTATCTACTTCAGGTAGTTTTAACTCATTATTATGTATTACCAATCTCACGTACTCACTATTGTCTTCCCTAACTTGCTTTTTCTCCAACTCAGTTGAAACCGGCGTCTTCATCAAGACATCAGAGGTCTGTAAAATCGAACAAATAACTCACCAACATATGCTCACAAACAACTAATGAACAAAAACTTCAGCTCAGAAAGATACAAAACAATCACAATCTTATTCCATGACAATACCAATTAAAAACATATCTGCGTACAAAAATTTCAAGATTTTGTTTCAGAAATTAGCTGAGTAAACCACCAATGCATTGGGCATGCTTATATACTAATGCTTTCGTATCTTCGAAAAAGAAAATAAACCACCACCAACAAGATGCTGCAATATTCAGCTGCAAAATCAAATTGCCACAGAACTGGACAGATCAACGTAAAAACAATTTGTTACAGATTTAGTCTCTTCTAACCCTATTGTTTATAGTAGCACCGACATAAGATTCCTCCAATCTCTACACTCAAATTTACCGAACCCGCGCATAAGGAATCAAGCGAATCAGGACGAAGAAAGTGCAACAGAGAACAAAACAGAAAGATTCAAACAATTTTCCATCAGAACACAAAAGAAGAGCCGCTCGAGATACTTCAACAGCGCCAAGATCACGCCCGGGGGAAGGCAATATACCAAAAATAAAAATGAAAACCCTTACTCGAGGAGCCGCTCCCTCCGATCACCGGCTTCTGACGATACTCAGACGAATTTGATGCCCCCTGATTCGGAAATGGGTTGATCACTTTCCTTGAAAGAGATGATCGAACGAAACCGTGGGAGAAGAAGGAGAAATTTTCACTTTCCGGTGGTTCGTGGGAGGAAAAGTAGAATGAGTGCGGTTGGGGTGCAGTATGCCTATGGCTATGACGTGTGCGTTTCTTCGATTTCCAAGCAAACTTCGATTCAAATTTTGTGGTCGCATATTTGACATTGACGAAGGAATTCTGGTGTCGTTTTTATTTTTTTATTTTTTTTTAAAAAAATAAATTTGAATTTTTATTTATATATTTTTTTATTGAGCTAAAAAGCAAGCCTAAACGAAGTAGCTTACGAGTTACGACACCGGGCCGGTGCGCCAAGTGTGAAATTCCTGACGCGTAAAAGACGAAATTGCCCTCCTTTTGAAAACGGATTTGGTCATGCTTTTGTAGTGATCGACGTGTCATTTTACGTCTAGAAGTCCTAAATCCATTAGTTATGATCCCACCTAACATGTAAAATTAATTAAATCCGGTTAGTATGTTGATTATGGACATGATGACATATCGTACCGTACTCAAAATATCGGTCGATATCGATATCGTATCGAATTTTTCGTTATGACGAAAATACATACGGATACTATACCGAAAGTTTCAATATACCAATTTTTGGTATATCGAAATTTTCGGTACTATACCGATATATACCGTTTATACCGAAATTTTCAATTTCGGTACGAACCAATATATACCGCTTATACCGAAAATTTTGATTTCGATAGATACTGGTATACACCGATTATAACGAAAATATAATTTTAAATTTCAAAATAATTAAAAAATTAATAAATATCATCATTCTTCACCAAAAAAATATTACCAAAAAATCAATAAATTTTCAATAGTTTACATATTCTTTTGTTATGATTAAAAAAAATTTAATAATTATTATTTATATTAATAATTAAATTATTTAATAAAAATAATATCGGTACGGTATCATACTGAAATACCAAACTTTCCAAAAATTCATACTAATACCGTACCAAAAATTCGATATGATACGGTATGATAGGTCAGTATTTCGGTATGTTCGATAAATTTTCCCATCCCTAATTATGGATGTCTTTGATTTCTATTTCAAAGTAAAATAATACTTCTATTATTTAATTTGTATGATTTTTTTATTAAAATATAGTTTCTTTATCTACCATAATTATATACTCAGAGAGTATTAATTATATTTTTATTTAAAGTTGTTGTGGCTAAATAAAGATAGGAATTGGTGTCCTACATGGGCTGGTGGGCCTGATAAATGGGCCAATAAATGAAAAATGAAGACCCAAAATGAGGCCCAAAGTGATTGTAGGAGCAGAGATGGTTTGAATTTCGATGGGATATAAAACAAAAACAAGGGCTCCTATTGGAGGGGGCCGACGACAGTCCGGCACAAAATGGACAATAAAATAAAATAAAGAATAGGAGAAGAAAAATTGGAATCGGAAAAATTTTGAATTGTAATAATTGAATAATGTGATATAAATAGGTGTTCACGTGATATTTTGAATGCAAAATTAATTTTTAATATAATATAAAAAATGAAAAATAGGTGCGCAAATAGATTTTTGAAGAGCTTTTAGCTTATTGGACAGCTTTTAGCTGTTTGACCAGTCAAAAAGCTAATTTAGGTGTTTGGTAAATTAGCTTTTTGGAATAGATTTTTGGACTCAAAAAACTAATTTCTGAAAAGCTAATTTACCCAACGTTTTAAAATAGCTTTTTCTGTAAAAAATTTTTTATTTCTTATATGCCCTTAAAAATTTATTATACATTTTTTACACAAATAAATATATTTTGATTATTTATTAATTATATTAGAATATTTTATTATATTATAATTTTACTTTTATAAATTTAAAATAATTAATTTTTATATAAAAATTATTTTAATTGTAAAATGTATAAATTTATTAAAATCAACATAAAATAAAAAATATAAATATATATAATTTATTTTTTATTAAAATTACATTATATAAATTTTATAATAAAAATAAATTAAATAAATTAAATTTATTGAAAATTATAAATATAATGAACTAATCGATAACTAACATAATAAATATATACACACAAAATTTATTATTTTATATTTTACATTATTTTCAATAAAAAAACTATTTATATATTTTAATAAAAATATATTATTTTTTAAATCTAACCGTAATAAAAATAAATACTTTTACGACACTTTTACAAGTTTCAATAACTAATAACAAAATGTTTTAAATATTCTAAACTCAAAAGAATATAATTGAATATATTAGAAATAAGAATAAAATAGAAATATCCTCAATTGTCATTTTATATATAAACAGCTAATATCAAACAGTTGTTTTACCAAATGTTTTAATACAAACAGCTAATCGAATCAGCTAGTCAAACCAGCTAATTGAATCAGCTAACAGCTATCAGCAAATTGAATCAGCTAACAGCTATCAGCAAATTGAATCAGCTAACAGCTAACAACTATCAATTAATTGCCAAACACGCCCTTAATTTTTTGAAAAAAAAAATTGAATGAATAGTTGATTTATGGTAAAATCTCCCCAACAAAACACACCCTAAAAGTATTACCGTAATTTATGAATTTGAAATATTATATTTTGAAATCAAATAAAATTTGAGAGAAAAACTAAATTGATTATATTTTTTTACTCTTCCTTCTTTATAATTAATATTAAAAATTTATAATTTTAATAGTTAATATTAAAAAATTTATTTCATAAATTTTAATTATTTAATTACTATATGTTATAACATGAACTTTTTTTAAAAAATAATTTAAATTAAATTCTATTTAGAAAAATGATATAGTAATACTATTGTCGTGGAAATTTATCGATGATGGCCCAATGGAGCAAGGCTAGTCGAAATCGACAAAAATCGGATTTTCGGCCTATTCAAGAAAGTATTCAAATTTGTCTCGCAACAAAAGTTAACGCGCAAACAAATCTAAGTTAGACCGATTGCGCCACTGATTTGATATAAGTAAAATTGAATCAAACGTTAATGCGTGGCTAGAAATTGAAACAAAAAGAAATGTTGAAAGTATGATTTAATTTGCAAATTGTGAGGTGTAAAGATATAAACAAGAAAAAGATAATGCAATAGACTATAGAAATAAAATTGAAGAAAACATAATAAATGAATAAAAACAAGAGAAAATAGAAATATAGAATTTTGGGGTAGTGGTGGTGGACTTCTTCGTGGGCCGGATGGATTGATTTTCCCGGTTATCGCCACTTTTTATTGGCCTGAAATTTAAGGAATAACAAAAATATATGTATTACTGTAAATATAAATTAAATTGATCTTTATTTTTATTTTTTTTTTTGTTCATTTCATAATTTTTTCTAAAAATTGTAGATATATATATATATATATTAAATTGATCTTTATTTTCAATGGATCTTGGTTGGGTACCCCTAATGTAGGAGTGTAGGAGTAGTAGACGGCTTTGATGAATAGGGTGTGTTAATTGAAGAATTTTAGTTGGATTAATGGTAGAGTAAATGAGGCAAATTCATGAAAAATAAATGAAGCAAATGTAAGAAGACAAATAGAACAATCACAATACAATTTTTTATTTTTTTTTTCTTAGGTGAGCATTTTCTATTTCAATTGAATTATTTTATTATATCGTGTTTTTCATCAAGTAATTATTTTTTTACAGACACAAGAATGGACTGGGAGAGCACAAACTATGCTATGAAAATACGAGATTAACGCATAGACACACAATAAAATATTTTTTATTACTTAAGTTATGTACTTATTCTGTGTGTTTTTTTTTAAGTAAATTGCATTTGTTATAAAATTTTGGTTGAAAATAACTTTTTAGACTATTATTGGATTCATACACAAACACAAACATATATATATTTTATGGCCCAATTAAATTTGGCCCCAATCCATAATTCGTGACCTAACCCTCCGATCCGGTTCTATAACTCGCTGACCCGGTTCTATGACCCGCTGACCCGCATCTTTTTTCTAGACCCAATGTGGACCTTTTGATCAAGGGTTTTAACCCTGGCCCCATCTAATCTTTTCTAACCTACATATATATACAAGTAGAGAGATGAGCCGCCTAACACTCTCACCCTCACTCTCTCTCTCTAAACTCTCTCGCCTCTCTTTACACACTTTTCTCTGGGCAATTACATATTCTTCTCCGGCAACCTCTGACGAGCATCTGACAAGCTTTTTTCTCCTATTTTCTGTGGTGATTAGAGGTGCTTTTATTTCCCCTGTCTCGATTCGAACTGCAAGGGGTTTGACATCGAGTTTAGCCTTCAGTTTATGTGGTTCCTTTCTCTTTGGCCGTTGTTCTACCGTTGCTTTGTTTTTCCCTACTTGTGGGGGTTGTTTTCGGTCTAGGTTGAGGGTCTTGGACCGGTTTGGTTGTGTATTTCGCATTGTATGCGTGTTTGTGTCGATTTTGTATTTTGGTGGGTGATTTGGGGGCTGAGTCTAAAACCAAATCATAGTTCAAACTTTGTTTTGTATTTTCGTTAATTTTTCTGTAATAAAATCAAGTTTATTCTGCGTTTATTTCATTACAAGTGGTATCGGAGCTTTTGGTGAAGATTTTCTTTACAAAACTATCTTTATTTTCGATTTTGTAAAGATTTGGTTTAAATCTTTTAAGATCTAAAAAGATCCGGTTGAATCGGCCTATTTTTTAAGTGTTCAATTCTTTTCCTTTTAGATCTTTGTCAAAATCGGCTCATTGTGTTTCGCTCCTTGTTTTTTAGGCCTTGGTTGAGTTTTCCTTTTACGAAATCGTCTTTACTCTTTGATTTTGTAAGGATCTGCTCAAAACCAAAGCGATCCGTAAGAAATTAAAGGATCCGGTTGAATCGAACTTATTATAATGTGTTCGGTTTTTTCCTTTGATTTCGTGTCTATATCGGCCCGTTGAGTTTCGATCCTTGCTAATATAGCCGCAGTCGAACTATTAATGTTGGGTTTGGACTTAATCGCTACTATTTTGTGTAGATTGGTTAAGTTCGAGTCCATTTCGGTTGGAACGGTTCAAAATCGTTTCAATTTGGTGAAAACCGATTTTGTCCGTTGTTATTTTAAGAATGCTTCACCTTATTTTCGTTTAGATATATGCTTGTTGGGTTAAAATCTAAAAGTTTTTCCAAAATCTTTAAAACC